GTCTGTCAGATGGCTGAGCAGTCTGTCAGATGGCTGTGTAGTCTGTCAGATGGCTGGGCAGTCTGTCAGCTGGCTGGGCAGTCTGTCAGCTGGCTGAGTAGTCTGCCAGCTGGCCCAGCAGTCTGTCGGTTGAGCAGGATGGCTGAGCAGTCTGTCAGATGGCTGTGTAGTCTATCAGCTGGCTGAGCAGTCTGTCAGCTGGCTGAGCAGTCTGTCAGATGGCTGAGCAGTCTGTCAGATGGCTGTATAGTCTGTTAGATGGCTGGGCAGTCTGTCAGCTGGCTGGGCAGTCTGTCAGCTGGCTGAGTAGTCTGCCAGCTGGCCCAGCAGTCTGTCGGTTGAGCAGTCTGTCAGTTGGGCAGTCTATCAGTTGGTTAGGCAGTCAGTCAGTTTGTTGGTTACAGTAGTTTAATTAAAGATGACAAAAACATACATAAACTTGACTTGTCTGGAATATACTTATATTTCTCCAGTCGTGTTCTTGGTGTTTTTGCAACATTAACACATCTCACTGATTCTCGTCTAAAACCCCGAACGCTGTTTGGCAGTTCACCAATCTTTACTTCCTTGTCCTTCATGTTACTCGTGCTGTCTTGTTTCAGGACATCTTCCAAAGCTACAACTGAAACACTTGGTTTCAGTAACAGATCACCAAGTGAATCTTGCGACATCTTCATTGGATTTTCTTGTTTATTGTCAGTTACTACTTCAACTTTGATAAGTGGTTTCTGAGGTGGCTCGTCACTTGACTTTTGTGACTTTTTTAAAGCACCTGAAAAACTTCCTCTTTTGGGAGTATTGTGAGATGCTTCAGAATTTTCAAGTGTTTTTGCTTCCTCTGTCGTCTTTTTTGACTTCTTTGAAAAACTATCTCTCTTGCCACGGCTAATTTTCCCATCATTTTCACTATTATCAACGTCCCCCCCTGACTCTTCACGCAACTCAGACATGCCTGGTTGCTGACTGTTCGCCTCGCTAACTGACTGGGCTGTTGCTTGCTGTTTATATCCAGTAGTCTGCCATTGTCGTTTGGTATATACCGTGTTCACTATTAACTGCTCAAAATTCCATTTTAATTTTTCAGCCAAATGAAACGGAATTGAAATGCCTATTGCGTGTAGATTGAAGTCGCTTGTACTCACATCTAAATAGCGATTGTTTGACGTCGTTAAATTAGCCCAATTATCAAAAGTTCGTCCGCGCGCGCTAACCGTGTTTTGATCCACTTGCGTCTCGTATAAAATCTCAAGTATTCTGCCCAAATGTGCAAGTAGGTTTGGAGCAGCGAATTTATTTTCTTCGAATAAAAACCTCTGAGTGTCTTCCTCCTCGTCGGCTTCGTTGTAATCAGACAATGCCGCGAACAGTTTCGCTCTTCGAGTCGTTTTCGAGACCGCCTGTTCACTTTCTTGTGGCAAAGACACATCTTTAGTTTTGTTATTTTGAACATCAACTGCTCTGTCTTCGTTGTTCGTGTCTGGTGTTTGAGGAGAACTATCGCCAGCCGCCGCAGAAATTTTTATCTGTTGTCGTAAATACGCTTCGACTTTAAGCGTGCCGCTTACTCCCGTGTAAGGAAGACTAAATGGCAATTGGTCTACGGGTTTCCGCTCGCGTCTCGCACGAATCCTTCTTTCCTGGTCGAAGAAATATAAATTGTGTTTATGTCCAAACATATTTAATATAATCTCGTTTATAATTCATTAACTGCTCAACACTAAAAGTAGTCATTAGGAATTAATCTTGTTTCCCGCTATAAAACATAAAATATTACATCACTGTATATTGCTTCGTTTTCCAAGCTGTTATTGACTCCCTTTACTATCAGCATATACCATAGTTTCCAAAGATATTCCCCTCATTTATGTGTATCTTTAGCCATATGTATAGTGTACATTTTCTATGTCACGGTACTAAGTCGGTTGCCATGGAGAGGAAGCGTCATTATCAGACAATATTGACAGAAAGTGATTAATAACAAGACCGGTGTTTCTGTAAATTTGCAATTGACGTTTGTCTTGATTTGCAGCTGTGGCATCGAAAGCTTTCTATTCAAGGAGTATGCCTTGAGGTTACAAATCATAGTAATTGTAACATTACAGATCTTATTGGTAACATCGCAGATTTACGAAGCAACCAAAATATCCAGCTACCAAATATCCCGTGCTTTACCAGGCAGAGGTCAAAGTACTAGGCAATAGGTCACCGTGAAGCAGTTGTGGAAGAGTTTTGTAGATGGATAATGGACCATTTTCATTATAGACTAAATTTTGATCTAGACAATAATTTCATCACAGCTTGAAAGAGCATCACAAAATTAGTAATATTCCAAAGTTTCGTTGCGAAATGTTGTAAAATGCGGATAATATTTATTATAGCCTTGCGAAGTTTGCCGTTTTTCAGTCATTTTGTATTACAAACGGGAAATTGATGCCCCAACACCCGATTGGGCTGTCAATTTCCCGTGCGTAATACAAAATGACTGAAAAACGGCAAATTTCGCATGGCTATATTATCCGCATTTTACAACATTTCGCAACGAAACTTTGGAATATTACTAATTTTGTGATGCTCTTTCAAGCTGTGATGAAATTTTTGTCTAGATCAAAATTAGTCTATAATGCAAATGGTCCATTGCGAGTGTGAATTTTATATATTTATTAGACTGAACCAAAAGCAGTTGTGAAAAGGAGCTCTGACAGGAAATGAACCTGCAACTCTGCGATTCCGGTGCAGCGCTTAGAGCTAGTTATATCCAGCGTAGATTCCAAAAATATAGTGCTGTGGACCGTCTATATTATGTAGGCCTAGCTATAGAGGTATTGCTGCTCGGAAATGCACTTTCCTAACTCAGCACGTCCAGCAGTGTGAAAATTCAAACATTCATCATACTTTTTCACGAATTATGTTTTATTGCATTGAATGGTCTTGAATAGTACAAACTTATGCTGGAAATAAAGGATTACGTTTTCCTGTATATATAGAGTCAAAACTGATACTTCTCTTGAGAAAATACAGCAACACCAATGAGGGAAAATATTGATTCCATCAGTCTTCGGTTTTCTTTGGTTTACTATAAAAAAAGGTGAAATCACGTTTAAACAAATGAAATAACAAGCATTGTTAACATTTGACGCGAAGACTAAAATACCATGTATTATATGATCAAAGTGCGTGACAGATTTTGGAGACCTGCTAAGCTCAACTCAGGTTTTCTCTTCAAATGCACGAGAGAAGAGTATGACTCCACCAAACACTGCAGGTATTCTTAGGATATTCCAGCCTTCTCCTGTAGTAACACTGGATGAATGAGAGATGGCTCTTACTGGACCTCTAGGAAGAACAGTTTAAAACTGATAGAGCTATCCAGTAAAAATATAATATTAATTTATTATTTATAGCTTTTACTTAGCAAGTACACAGAGCAAGGTATTTTGTACCTTTTTGACTTTAATCTTTTGTATCGTCGCTTTCTTCACATTGATCTGGTCGTCACCAGTCTCCAAGATCGCGTTCTCAAACCCGATCAATCCTCCATAGATATCCTCAGATCTCATGCTCTTGCCTGAGGAGGATCCAGATGGGACTGCAGGTCCAGGGGGTCTTTTAGCTGCAGCTGGCTCAGATGGTCTTTTAGGAACAAATAAGGAACTTGAATCTTGTTTGACTACGTTTTGTCCATTGTTATCCTTAGCGTTCCCAACCTTCGGAAGATCAATTTTATCACCATTTGGGGATCCTTCAGGAACATTAGCGGATGCCATCTTATGCACCTGCGCATCCCCCACTTTCCCGCTTTCCACAGCGGCTTTTTCAAGAGTATGAATATCACTTGAGGTGGAACCTTTAGGAGTAGATAATGACACTGGGGAACTATTTGGAACATTAGGTGATCCAGAATCTTTTGAGGTCTTGTGTACTGGCATATCCTTCGCCTTCCCACGGTCCAATGCGGTCTCGTCAAGTCCAACTGCACCATCTTTAGGGGTCTCTTTCTTAGAGCCAGTTGATTGTCTAGTCTTTCCCCCCGAATGTCGCTTTCCTCGAGTAGGTCGTTTAGATGTTGGTAAGGGGGGTGGGGGAGGTGGTAAACTTCCTCGTTTCACAGTGGAAACATCTGAGGTATCTGACCTGCCACTACTGCGTCTGGTCGACTTGGGAAAAAGCTCCGAACAATCTATTATGGCTGTGCTTTCACGCTTATTTTTCAGAATTGATTTCGGTTCAACTGGCTGAGTTTTGACTTTGGTAGGCGGTTCATCTGGCTGAGTTTCTACTTTGGTCAGTGGCATGTAGTCCTTGTTCTGTGATCTCAGGCTGAAAGATAAATAAACAAACACATTTTTAACTTTACTGCATAAAGGCTTAGTTTTACTTCATTAAAAATAGACTCCGGTTAACTTATGGGTTTCAAAAAGTCTTACTAGGCAAGCGATAATTACGGGAAACACTCAGTATTTGAAGAAAATACAAAATAACAGTAACTCCAAATAACATTTTGGATTACTATAACTAATAGGATTACTACAAACTAGTCGAAACGTCGATTAAAAATCAAAATGTTATTCGGAGTTACTGTTATTTTTTATTGGCAGCAGATAATGGTCAACTTCACACATTTTGAAACTTACAGAAGCACGAACATTAAACCTCATCTCTTAATCCTTTTTATTTCTCAAAATACAAGACTCTATTATATTATAAACTGCAGGTTGACCACCATTTCTTGCATGATAGTGCTTAGTCAGAAAATCAGATGGTAACTTTACTAGTTTACTCTGTCTAACGCCAGACAAGATTTGTTAAGCTCAACTTACTACCAAGCTCTGTAGCCACAGAACAGTATTGCCAGGAAAACAAGGCCGCCAATTCCTCCGACAAATGTATAGATCATAGCATGACTGCTAGATCCAGAGTTCGCTTTCGCCAATTTCACGTCTGGCTGGCCTTCACCTTTGGTACCTGCGAGTTATATTACATACTGTAAAAAACATTCTCGTTTAGCTTAGTCTCCCTCACAGACGTTCTTATAGCTCTAACCCTCGAGGGTTAGCGAGGGTTAGAGCTATAAGAACGTCTGTGAGGGAGACTAGGTTTACCTAGAAATAATCATATTTGGGTGAACTTAATATCCCTGGTGAATTTGTATAGGGAATAGTGATGATAGTATGGTTTCGAGTGCAATATGGAAGAAACATGCACGAGTGTGAGTTTTTCAAAGACAATCAAATTCAAAATCAAATTCATTTTTTTCAATTGCACGAGAAACCGTACCACAGAATAAAGATGAGTAACAGAAGGGCCACTCAGCGGTGCAACGTGTCCTCGTTTTTTTATGCAAAAATATGCAGTTTTACTGGCCAGAAGGCGGAGCAGCCAGCCAGTACAGCGTGTTTATTGGCCAGAAAATGTCATTGACTGGCTAGGAAAATGGCGGCCAACATGCGTAATGCGACATGCGCGAGGACAGAAACTTCAAAGTAAGTGGCCCTTCTATATGGATCTTTATTCTATGACCATACTATTACTTATTAATAATATACATGAAATAATAATATACATGGAATAATAATATACATTTTATTAAAAAAAAAACGCCAGCCATTTTTGTCACTCCTAACAACTCCTAAATGTTTGGGTTTTTTTTTTATTATTTCTGCTGGAAATCACTGTATCTTATTGGCTGTCTTTGTTATTGTTTCATATTTTAAGCCAATCAGAAAGTTCTAA